AAAGACGGGCACGATAGAGATGGGCATGACAAGGATGGTAAGGACGGATGGGACAAAGACGGGCATGACAAAGATGGCAAGGATGGATGGGATAAAGATGGCTATGAGAAGGAGAAGTGGGAGAAGGAGAAGGTAGAAAGGGAAAGACAAAAGCATGAGAAGGCAGAGGAGAAAGAGAGACACAGACAACAGGAACAGAGGGAGAGAGATTGGGAGAAGCATGAGAAGGAAGAAAAGCAGCACAAGCAATGGGAAAAGGAAGAGTGGGAGAAACAGAAGGAGCACAAGGAAAACGGGGAGAAGGAGCATGAAAAGAAGCCAGGATGGCCCGAGTGGCCCAAGTGGCCCAAGAAGGAGGACTATGGGCATAAGGATGATGGGTATAAGGACGATGGGCATAAGGACGATGGGAACAAGGACAAGGACAAGGATTGCTAGACGCATGGCGAGTGGGAGAAGCAGGGCTGCCATTTCACCACGAAGCCTGGGGGCATGAAGAAGAGGTTCTGCCATTAAGGAGTGATGCTTGCAGACCTTGGGCATGGCGTGAGACCTGCTTGTGCCTATTTTGAAGTGTGATTTGGCTGGGTGGGCCCAAGTGGCTGGTCAAGTTGTGGGAGAGTATGAATTTCGGTTTTTCTTGAGTTCGTTTTTTTGGTCACTCATTTCACTTTGTTCTAGTTATTGTTAGGATTCTTGTGAACTACGACTCCCACACCCCTAATAGCTTCCTTGAGCATTATCGAATCTAGTTTATCTTCTCTCCCAAATGGCCATGCTATGTCTTGGCATCTATCTCATTCGTTGTATATAGGGAGCAATGGAGGCGCCATAGTACGCAGTTCAGGAGATTAATACGTTCGCCTCCTCAAGATTCCGCCTAGCAGTCTCAGGGAGTCGCAGCCAAACCCACAATAAGCCCAATATTGTAACCACCGCAAAGAGCCAGAATGTCCCCTCCGGCCGGAGTCCATTCTCTAGCAACATGGACGGAACAGCCTAAGGTTATGTCAGTCAGCTATATACGGTTCCGGCGCTAAAGAACTGTACCTTCGACAGACCATATCGATTGGCGAAATGGAAGCACATAAGTACACTGGAACCTACTGTTCTCACGGACAGGGGGAAAATCTCCGCGTTTATGAGATACTGAATCGAGTTCCATCCCAGGGCCCAGCCCACACCCGTGAGGTAGAGACAGACGATGGCAACAATGGCAGCATCGTGCTCTGCATTTGAGCGGATGGGATGGGTGGATGGCAATGCCACGGTGAGATAGATGGCAATATAAAGCATAGCGACAAATTGGATGATGATTCCTGTAATCAAAGGGCGCTTTCGCCCGGTATAATCAATCAGAAATACTGTGCAGATAAGCGATGCGACAAATTTGACGGCGCCTAAGATGGCGGTGCACAATAGCTTCTGGGACTGACCCGTCTCGCCGAGAAGCGAGAAGAGCTTCGGGGCATAAGCTGCATAATTGTTGGTGATTGTTTATTCCTGTCTCGGGACTCAACACTCACTAGTCACGGAAGTGGCACCGGACCACTGGCTTAGGAGCTGAGTGATCGCCAAAAATGTCAATCTTGATAGGTTAGATTTGTCTGTGATAAGTTGCTTTAGAGCCCTTCCCAGGCGCTGGATGCTCGTCCCTGATGGTGTGTCTCCTAATTGATTTAGAATACCTTCGAATTCCTTCTGAATGCGTGGGTCGTGTATAGGTAAGTTCCACAACCGACTTAGGGCCCGGGTACCTTCGGCAAAACGTCCAGCTTTGCATAGATATCGGGGACTCTCCTCGCAGAAAAACGATGAAAGCAGAAGAATGCCAGAAACCATAATCTGAATAGACTGTGGGATCATCCATTGTTTTGAGCTGTTGTTGGAGATGTGCATGGTCGTCCCCCAGCTTGAGAAATACTAGATTGGTCCCTGTTAGTCACTGTGGTCATCTCCATCGTGGGCGATGAGACAATGCTAACCCCTATCATGATTCCCATATATTCAGATGTAGCAAATGTGCAGACCATGAGTCCACGGAGCGACGGTGTAGCTACCTCGGAGAGATAGATCGGCACGACGACCCCGGCTTGTCCAATCCCTAAACCCATGATGAAACGACCAGCGTAGACCTGACCAATACTCCCCGCAGCTGTAATAACAATAATTACTCCAGCTGCCCACATAACACACAGTTGTCGCATTGTCCAGAGCATTCCGACGTGCTCACACATAATGAAAGCAAACATTGCTCCAGGGATACTTCCGATATGGACCATAGAGGTTATGTTGGAGAGCCGGTTGGCTTTCTCCGATGCACTAAGGTCGGCATCCTGAAGGTGAAACTGATGGATAAAGGACGGTTGAGCCACTGTAGTCGAGATGAGGCCCTCATCCAGCCCTGGGTATTGTTAAACAGTGCTCGTATAGAGAAAAGCTAGGTAGCCTACCTCGAGCCATCCCAAGGAGTCCGAAGGAAAAAACTGCACATAACAGCTTCACCGTCAACGCTCGAAGAAGACCGATCTGCTTCATTCTGGCAGTGATTGAACAATTTCATTCTGTTTCTGTATTTTCCCTTCGCCAAGATTATAAGCCAAGGCAACACTAGAGCTTTCATAATAATTTGCGCAGGATAAGTGGAGCCAAAGGGGGCCCGTGTCAGCCCTACAGTAGGGCTGAGTGGGAATACCGTCAGGGGCATCAGATGTGATAGGACAGCCCCTTGGCGTTAGATATCGCTAACTAATAATTTATTTATCATTGGTCTAGCTCGTCATCCTCCAGGTTCTCAGTCGGCTGCCCCCGCCAAACCAACCAGGCAACAACAATAAAGGCCTTGCACAAAACTGCCGTCCAAAACGCCCCCATTAGTCCAACCCGGCTCTTGGCCCACAGACCCCCGAGCATCGTCCCAAATAGGAGACACACCACTGCTCCACCACGTCGCCTATTTTCCACTCCATGTAACATCGACAAAGGTGGAAGCTCCGGACTAGAGAATAAGTCGCAGTAAACGCTTGTCAACACCACGCTAGTCAGGCCATTGAACTGCAGGGCACGGCTCGTCACTGCCTGACCACTACTCTGAAACGCGACCAGCATCAACGGGACAATCACCTTCCAGGTTAGAGGGGAATCCCTAGAAGTTTGGTGGGTCGTCACAATCGTAGCAGCCGTCGCTACGCAGAACATCTGGATGGTAAATGAAAGGCACAGCACCCAGCGTCTGCGAGGAGAGAACCGTCGGTGAAAAGAGGCAAAGCAGAATGAGCCTACGCAAAAGCTGGCGATCGAGGTTAATGCTCTGAGCCAGCGAGTGCTCTCGTCGACTCCCATGAGTCCGAGGCCGAGATAGACGGTGTTGCCGGTCTGCATGCTCACGAACGAGCCCCAGACAAAGACGGCGGAGCTGTCGAGTAGCCCAGTGATCACGTAGCAAAACAAAAGAACCAGGTCCCCATGGTTAGGATTAATGTCCGAGGCGAGATGGTTGATAAACCTGTGGCGACGATATTTCTGCAGTGGAGTACCAGAATCATCATCATTTCCTAGTAACCGGTCGGTTTCGCGTGGAGAGTGGGAAGCCATCGTGAACCAGATAGGGGAACCTTGGATGGAAAACCAGCACAATTGGCAACAAGGTATTATTTATCCTGCGCATCCGGGTTTCCGATTTTGTTCGTTTGGTTGTGGATCCGGTGGAAATTATCAGGAACGCGTCACTGGACCAAACAAGCTTTCTCCTCGGAGGATTCGATATGAGATTTAAATCAGGCAGCCACAATTAGAGTCCCCAGGCATTCAATTTAATTCACATGACTACATGCACCCTAATGTTGATTTATCCCATGATCACGTGAAGTACCGTAGTATTTGCTTTTAACCATGCAAGCGTACTATCTGTTAGTTGTCCGACTTTCTTTTTCTTCTCCTCCCCCCCATCTCTCTAGTGGTTTATCCTTACTGTCTATGTGCTCGATTTGTTTACTGATGTAAGTCCCCGCTCAGGTTACCCGAGCTACACAGATCACTCGAACTATATATATATGGAGGTTTAGAGCTCTAGATCTATTGGGGATATGGTGCACCCTTGATACATACAAAAGGTGCTCGGATGTCGGCTTGCCATTCAGATAGCACACTTGTGTGAGTATTCCTAAAACTGCCTCAAAAAGGATAGGAGTTATATTAATAATGCGAAAGGCTGCTCCACGATCATGGCCTATAAATTTTGGTTTGACCTTCCCATCCCAACTCAGAACTACAATTATCGTTTATATAGAGAGTAGACAAATTGTGATCAAAGGTTGAGGTGCGAGGCTGGTACCACAATAAAGAATATGATTCGTCATTTATAACCTGTGGCTGTTCAAGGCCTCAGCCTTGCGCTGATCCTAGAGAGAAGACGGTGGTGCCCCACCTCAAATCCCAACAACTCTCAAGATACTTAATCGAAAGATAAATCTTTCTATGATAATATTTGTGCGCGGAATTCTAGATTCTGCGTTAATACCGTGGTTATAAAATGAAAAAAATGAAACTATCCTATGATGACTACACGATTGCCTGGATTTGTGCGTTACCGCTGGAGATGGCGGCTGCCAAGGCGATGCTTGAGGAGACACATGAATCACTCCCCCAACCACAAGCGGACCAGAACTCCTATTCTCTTGGAGAAATGAGCGGCCATAATATTGTTCTTGTCTGTCTACCCTCAGGTATATATGGAACAACATCTGCAGCCACAGTTCTCGCCCAAATGCTGTCCACATTCCCGTCCATAAAGGTTGGTTTGATGGTGGGGATTGGCGGGGGCGTACCCAGCAGTAGTGTTGATATTCGCCTTGGGGATGTGGTGGTTAGCATGCCGTCCGGCTCCTCAGGTGGCGTGATACAGCATGATTACGGCAAGGCACTGCCTGATGGATTCTTTCAGCATACTGGCTCACTCAACAGCCCCCCTCAAGTACTGTTGAGTGCTGTGTCTCACATGCGCTGCAATTATATGATTAAAGGATCTGAGATTCACGCTACTATTATGAAGACTCTGGATAGTAATCGGTATATGGAAGAACAGTTCTCGCCGCCTGATAGAGACTTGCTGTTCAATGCGACATATCAGCATCCCAAGAACAGTCTCGATTGCTCGCAATGCGATCAGTGCCAGGTGGTGAAACGTATACCACGAAAGTCTCACGAGCCTCAAATTCATTATGGCTTGGTTGCATCTGGGAACCAGGTTATAAAGGACGCTGAAACACGAGACTTTCTTGCTCAGACGCTAGGAGTCATCTGCTTTGAAATGGAGGCTGCTGGACTCATGAACCAGCTACCTTGCTTGGTGATCCGCGGTATTTGTGACTACTGTGACTCGCACAAGCAGAAGGACTGGCAAAGTTATGCAGCACTGAGTGCATCTGCATATGCTAAGGTGCTCTTAACAGCTGTCCCTATCAGCAGCAGCAAGGAGACTAGACCAAGGAGTCATATCCAATTGAACGGGAAGTCAAAGCACGGCGTTGTACCCAGTTCAACGTTTAACAGCTACGGTTCTGGAGCGCAGTTCAATGCTACTGGGAACATTCAAAACAACAACACAGGAAGTGGCAACCAATTCCTCGGTAACTTCGCTGGGCCTGTGTATTTCGGCCAGCCTCCCGCCGCATCTAAGGATAACTAGGTGGTTGACAAGCAAAATCTTATTTGACGCTCTATGTGGCGCTTTACTTTGCTGCATTTGGCTTTGTTAGATACAGCACTGGTGTAGAAACAATGGTCTATAGAGCAACGGACATAAAAGAGCTCTCCTGGATTAGTTTAATGCACTTATACTTAGAACATCATCGATAGCCTGGTTCTTAGTTTAAGGAATCATGCTACTAGTACCCAGTAATCTATGGCTTGATCCTCGGATGGTCTCCTGACGATACGGAAAAGTCCCCACCTTGGAAGAAAATGGCAGGGAAAATGTAAATGCATTCAATGATTGCTGCCAAAATTAACAGTTCCACTGAAACTAGCCCCCGGAAATTGGTTGCCATTGCCTATGTTGTTATTTTGAGTGCCTCCAGTAGTATTGAATTGGTTACCAGAGCCATAGTTGGAAAAATGGCTACCTGGCTGCTCGTTGGATACTGACGGTTCCATCTTGGATAGCCATTCGAGTGCTGTGCGCAAGGAAATGATTTCGACCTTCATCGCTGCTTCGATGGTACTGTCGTTGGCTATCTGGCAAACATCATTCATCATTCCTGTTACCAAGGCTTCTATCGGGCTGCCTTTTCCCCTTCCTCTCACAGCCATTTTGTAATCCTCAAACCTGTCGCTCCCCCGGCCTTGAGCAACATCCAGGAATATGGCCTCGGACAACTTGGCTTTGCAGTTGCAAGCCTCCAGCAAACCCATAGCGTGCTTGGGTTCCCCAGCTATATCACGACCGTCGTTGTTTCTTTCGACACATCGCAGAGCATCCTCAATAACCAGGAGCCCCTGGCCTGCTTCATGAAACGTCGCTGGAAGGCGCTTGTCATCCTTAACAATGTTGTAGTGCTGCTTGGTGGAGCTGAGCGTAGTAATTACGCTAGAAAGTAAGCTACTGAAGTGGGCGCCCATCATTTTGGAGGTTGAGGTTGAGTGTATTTATTGACCTTTAAAAGAGCGAAACAAAATGGAAGTACAATGTTTGTAATGTTCCTTGAGATTGTGTGAACAAAAGATTGACCCTGATTGCCGAGAAACGGGAAGACACCAGAGTCATTCCGTACAGCAATGAAGGAAACAAGCCGCATGATCACTTATTCCACTCTACTCCTTGTTGCAGCCATAACGGGCATTAATTGGGCAGCGCTCAATACAGCCACCATCAGAGTCTTTACTCGATCGACAGAATGGTTGAATATTATTGGAGGCCTCGCATTTTCGAAGGCAACTACCCGGAATCTGACTGGTCACATCTCGCATTGATCGCCGGCGACACTAAGAAATAAATAGAAAGGCACTGCTGACGTAGCAAATCGACCGATGCATGTTGTACTGAATTTTCTTTTCCTTCCATTCTTCCTTCTTGCTTTTTTCTCTGCTTGGTTTTAACCACACTTAGCGCCAGCAGCGCCGCTAGCTGGCCTCAAGCCTTTCACAGCCCGTCAACAATAACCAAAGTCCGTTTACCAACCTCACTGGTGCCTAGCTGGTGACGTATGTTCTCGGAGGCATTTTCTCGATTCCTGATCGATATGAAAACTGGATGAGAGCCTGAGAGAGACATACAGGTGTCACATCTCGACTGCATCACACTGCATCGCATTCAGAATGTCATTCTCCAACGACCACGGTACCGGGGATATGTTCAACGCTCATATGAGTACCCAGAACAACAATACAGGCAGTGGAAACCAATTTCCCGGAGCTAGCTTCCGCGGGACTGTGAACATTATTCAGAATACCCAGAATGAGCGTTCTCTTAAATCACGTGGGATTGATGTCCTGAAGAGACTGAATGTCTCAAAATATCGAGATCAGAAAGATCGAAACCCTGTTCGAATACCAGGGACTTGTGAATGGTTTGTCACTCATCCGATTTTTAAAGCCTGGCAAGAGGTCCAGGCGTCACAGATGCTCTGGGTCTCTGCAAACCCCGGTTGTGGGAAGTCTGTTTTGGCAAAATACCTCGCAGATTCTATTCTCCCAAAAGATTCTGGTCGAACAGTCGGATACTTCTTTTTCAAAGACGATTTTGAGGACCAGAGGAGTGTCACACATGCGTTGTGTTGTATTCTTTACCAGCTCTTTAACCACCGTCGTGATCTGCTTGCTGAATATATTATTGAACAATTTGAGATGAACGAAAGGATTGTTGATTCATTCAGCGATCTTTGGGACGTCCTGATCAAGGCTGCGAAACAAAAGGATGCTGGAGAAATTATTTGTCTCCTAGACGCCTTCGATGAATGTGAACAGAATGGATGGTCCCAGCTCACTAAAGCACTGTGCAGCCTTTACAAGGACGAAACTAGGAATAATTTCAACCTGAAATTTCTTATTACTAGTCGCTCTTATGGCCACATCCGGCAAGGATTTCAGCCTATACAGATATCAGGACAGCCTTTAATTCATCTCAGTGGGGAAAATGATAATGAGATGCGGAAGATTTCTCGCGAGATTAATCTGTTCATCAAAGCAAGAGTTAATACTATTGGAGCTCAACTAATGCTCACGGAAGAAGAACAATCTATGCTACTCAAGAGTGTCACACGTGTTCCCAACACCACATATCTCTGGGTCTACCTTACTCTGAATCTCATTGAGAGTAATGTGGATATTGACAAGATCGGAATAGTTACCGCTACAGCTGACCTTCCAGCGACTGTGGATGAGGCCTACGAACGAATTTTATGTCGAAGCAAAGACCCAAAAAAAGCCAGAAAAATACTTCATATTGTGCTGGGGGCGACACGACCCTTAACACTTCAAGAAATGAACCTCGCATTAACCTTGGACGAAACACATCGGTCATATAGTGACCTTGACCTCAGACCACAAGACCGTTTTCGTGAATATATTCGGGACATCTGCGGACTGTTTATTACCGTTGTAGAACGGAAAATATACCTCCTTCATCAAACAGCTAGAGAATTTCTGATACTGGAGAATGAACCATTGATCAACAAAATTTACATGCTTCATCATACTGCAAAGCGAATCTTTTTCCGAGACATGCAAACCGGAAACAACAATGACCTTCAAAACCTCTCGTGGAAGCATTCATTAACACTGCAAGAGTCCAATCACATTATTGCAACGATCTGTATTCAGTACCTGCTGCTCTCAGATTTTGGGAAGGCCTGGCCGCTAGAAACAGATATAGACGAGCTTTCCGATAGCTATATCTTTCTTGATTACTCTGCTAAATGTTGGGTTAATCATACTCTCGCAGCCTATCCCAGATCTGGGTATAGGAAACAATCCCTTATCATACTCTGTGATCTTATTGAAGGTGGCTGTCCAGTTTGGTTCCAAGTTTATTGGACGTCAATGGGCACAGACTTCCCGACGGGCTTCACCAGTCTTATGATCGCATCATATTTCGGGCTTACACCTGTGTTGGGACATTGGATTGAGATGGAAAAGGCTAATCCAAACGCAAAGGATAATGTATATGGACGTTCAGCACTATCCTGGGCGGCGGGAAATGGCCATACTGCTGTCGTGAAGCTCTTAATAAAAGGGTCTTTATACAGACCCTGGAGGAAGATGGCTGAAGTTGATGCGCGAGACTCCTATAACAGGACGCCTCTTTGTTGGGCTATCTTGAATGCACATGCAGATGTAGTCAGCCAGTTGCTCAAAGCAGGAGCTACAATTGACTTGGAAGATGATATCGGAGGGACGCCATTTGAATATGCCATCTGCAGTGGGAATAGTGGAGTACGGAATATCGTGATGAAGAAAGGTTCGCAGAATCATCATCTATCCATCGATAGAATCCAAACCAAACTGCTCATTTCAGCCTCCAAAAAAGGTGATGAAGCAATAGTAAAACTTCTGCTTGAGAATAAGGCAGATATAGAGTCAAAAGATGATGAATATGGCCAAACACCACTTTCCTGGGCAGCAGAGAACGGCCGTGAAGAGGTAGTGAGACTTCTGCTTGAGAATAAGGCAGATATAGAGTCGAAAGATAAATCTGGCCGAACACCCCTTTCCTGGGCAGCGGAGAACAGTCGTGAAGAGGTGGTAAGTCTTCTGCTTAAGAATAAGGCAGATATAGAGTCAAAAGATAATAAAAATAGTCGAACACCACTTTTGTGGGCAGCGGGGCACGGCTGTAAAGAGATGGTGAGACTTCTGCTTAAGAATAAGGCAGATATAGAGTCAAAAGATGATAAATATGGCCGAACACCACTTTCCTGGGCAGCGGGGAATGGCCGTCAAGAGGTGGTGAGACTTCTGCTTGAGAACAAGGCAGATATAGAGTCGAAAGATAAATCTGGCCAAACACCACTTTCCTGGGCAGCGGA